TCTCTAAATGATTATTTCGTAAGTGTAGCAAGTGATATCCCACCACTTGATATTTCAAGCCTTCCAACATTCTTACCAGCTGCGGTGCCGCCTCCTACAATTCATCCTCATGAGGTTTGTAGTAAACTCTTAAAACTTCAGACTAATAAGGCTATGGGCCCGGACAGTATTCCACCACGAATTTTAAAAGAGTTCGCCTACGAACTTGCTGAGCCAGTTACATCAATATTTAATACATCTTTGTCCTCTGGACTAGTACCTGTGTTATGGAAAGATTCTACCATCATACCCATTCCTAAAGCGAAACAAACCCAGGTTGAGAGCGATACCCGCCCCATCGCACTTACCCCTGTGTTATCGAAAGTACTCGAAGACTTTGTGGTTAGTTGGATGGTTGAGGACATAGGTGAACAAATCGATAATCGTCAGTATGGCAGCCTGAAGGGAACATCTACCACCCTTTGCCTTCTAGATCTTACCCACAACTGGCTTTCTAAAATGGACAACCCAGGTCATTACCTTAGAGCTTGCTTTCTGGACTTTAGCAAAGCTTTCGATGGAATAGACCACAATATTGTTATAACAAAATTGATCGATTTGGGAGTGCGCCGTTCAATAATCCCTTGGATTTGTAGCTTCCTTTAAAATCGCCGCCAGTGTGTTAAGCTGGGACAGTGCGTGTCCCGATGGCTTTCAACTAGTGCTGGGGTCCCACAGGGTACCAAATTGGGTCCAATCCTTTTTGTCATAATGATTAATGATTTGAAAATAGTATCCCGCGTTCCAGTAATTGGAAGTACGTAGACGACGTGACGATATCTGAGATTGTTCCAACAAGGGTGGTATCTATACTACAAAACGAATTGGACGCAATTGGTAATTGGACAAGTACCAATAATATGAAATTGAACCCCCAAAAGTGTAAAGAGATGATTGTCTCCTTTCGACGAGATATTGAGCAGCCACCACCCACCTTAGTTGTTGAAACCATTAGTCTTGAAAGAATAGAATCCCACAAAGTATTAGGTTTAACGATCCAGATAAATCTGAAGTGGGATTTGCATATCAGTGAGATAGTAACCAAAGCATCAAAAAGACTACACATCTTACGAGTTCTCAAGCGCGGTGGAGTTTCACCGTTTCATTTACTACGAGTACATTTTGCACTTATTAGATCCCTGCTTGAGTACTGCTGTCCGGTATGGCATTCATCATTGACCATTAACTTGTCAGATAAAATTGAACGGGTCCAGAAGCGCACAATGCGAATAATCTACCCCACATTAAGCTATGACGCTGCTATGGACCAAGCTAAATGTTCGACATTACGCGCAAGACGTGATGGTTTGTGCATAAAAACTTTTGACAAAATCAGACAGCCTGATTCACGCCTTAATCATTTAATACCACCTTCTCGGGCCAATGGACACAATTGTAATTTAAGGTACGGAAATAGATTAACACTGTTTCCTTGTAAGACGGAGCGCTTTAAGAAAAGCTTTTTCCTACTATGTGTATTCAATCACATAATTTATAAATTTTGTAAATTTTGTAAATTTAAAAGTTCTTTCGATATTAATTCATAGATCAGTAAACTATTGTTGTAATATAATGCCAGTAACACAAGGTACTTTTTAATACTTTTAACTAAAGTTTGTAAATAATTTCGCAATTCGCTTTCATCGAGCGCGACGATTTTTATAATAAACCATTAATAATAATAAAAAAAACCCGACGAGAAATGGAACACAGGAACACAAGTACACAACATTGAACAGGGGGCGGGGGGATTGTCGTTTGTTGAAATTCAAAGGTTTTGTGGCATCTGTCCCAAGACTTTTGAAACTGATTGTCTGAAAGGCAATGAAAAGCATATTTAACCTCTTTGAATTACCGAGTGTTTTAGAATATCAGTTTTGCGAAAATCATATAGCATTTAGTATAACATATTTACTGAATTGCATTCGCATATATAATGCTTTTATACTGTGCTTGTTGTGGTCAATATCTTTGAAATGTAAATAATCCAACAGACTGAACAGTATATTATAAATGAGCTTATAAAAAGAGGTGATATGTGGGGAGAGAAGTATGCTGAGAGATTAAACCTGCTCTATATGCAAGGGATAAAACACATCTATAGGTTAATTATCGACTTTGGTTATTGCTGAATAAAATGCAAGGGTAAGTTATCGAAAACCACTTAAAGATTGTGCATATTTGACATGAAAATATGTATGTAATATAAAACGGTTTGAACATGTGCTCGATTGACACTCGGTTGTCACTTTGAAACACATAGGATTTTCATTGATATAACTTTCAATTGTCGCGGCATAATAATTTTCAGAATATTAAGTACTAAGCAAAAGTGTTTAGGTAGCACGTATTGATATATTACGGGTTCTACTTAATCACAAAGTATATAAATTGAATAAAATGTATCGATTGACACTGAACTCTAGAAATATCACTATGATATATCAGATTTATTTATGTAGAAAAGTGTCAATCGATCCAAAACTTGGCTTAATCAATTTCAAACCCTTTAATTAATAGTAAATACATTGTTAGACATTCTCAACAAATTATTCTTAGCCTTGTTCTGATTTACAAGCTGCCTAGTTGCCCATTATTTCATATTTCTATAGTGACAATCGAAGTGAGAAAGCAAAGGAACCTCAAAGGTAATCAAAAGTATCGCCAGATATCATCTATACTACCACATGCGCAGGTTCCTTAGAAATCCAAGCAAAATGACGAAGTACATAACGAAAGATATGTTAAAGTTCCTGCAGAGAAACATGCCCACACAGAAAACATGGGTTAACAAATTCCATCGAGGACAAACGGAAATAGGTCTTTGGCATAGCAGACTTCCGGATAAAGGTAGGGTTAGAAACTACAGATATTCATATTACCATACTGGTGGTGTAATGGGAATTAGTTATCAGGAAGTGGACAAAGTCATTAACAACAGCGATACGGACTATACCCAATTCATAGCTAAGAAATCAGACGGACTGACACCCTTAGGACTAAAACTACTTCAACATTCTGTTGAAAGTTACGTCTATTGCGTATTAGGTGCGCAAGCACAAACACGTTGGTCTATCGTTGGTAAAGGGGGCGCGAAGTCATTACAGACTCAGGACGTTTTCCACAAACTTTTCAGAGACACCGTTGCGCAAGACGATGTATCGGTATCCGTCTCCAACATGAGGAAGGCAATAAAGGATACTAACATTGTACTTAACATGGCAATATCATCCGGATTAATATTAATATCATCCAATATGATTATACTCAAGGAAAAAGTAGAGAGACGGGACATACATTGCATTGACTTAATTAAAAACATGTCCTCTCCGTCACATAAATTACACTACTTATTACCTGTGAAAGTGGGAAACATTAGAAATAGGGAAACTAGATCCAATAGAAACAAATTTTATAACTTTAAAAGTAGAACTGATCGTTTTAAGAACAGTCCACTAGTCTATGCTATTGATAAATACAATAATAATATATAATGTTCTTACTAGATGTAAATAGATATAGTTTTAATAACATTTTGATAGATTAGTAGTACCTATGTAAATACGTGACAATTAAGTTATATCTTATTCGATGTATACTATTAAAACCCAATATTATTATTATAACGGTTTATAACGGTATTTAAAATCGCTTTTCTCACATGAACACTTTGCGAAATACTAAAAACTCTCCTACTGTTCATACTGAATCAATTCGTTCGAAATTTTCAGAGTTTATTTGCTTGTTACATAGCCATGTCATGGACCTAAAAAACTTCATATATGAGCAATATACATTGCAAGAGTAGCCTTATAAGAACTCCTTTCTTCATATAATTTTAAAAAAGTAAAATATGAAGGCCTTATTATATTACTTGTATATTTTTTTAGGTTCATGACATAGATCGATGTATTAAGTGTCCATTAAAGCTGTTTCTAAAATCCTCGGTAAATTAGTTTGGCTCACATCATTCTTGGAGCAAACCCCATATTTTACCCTATAGCGAGGCCTATCTTAGTTACTGTAGGGGGCTCTGGATAGAAGTAGTTCCTTTGGTGCCTGTTGACTGCACCTTACAATTAGGGTGGACAGATGTCTCTGGTCTTCATCCATCTCCCAAACTCTCACGTGCTGGCTCCTAGTGCCACACCTTGGTAACCGCTTCACTCGGAGGGCTGAACCACGTGAGAGGGTGATGTTAACACGACATCACTGGGCGTACGAACTTCCACGAAGAAGTCACGTGTTCGTGATCAAGGCGAGCCACCAGTAACGATGTGGAATTCGGCTGTGGTCAATTCGGAGTGAAGCCCGGAGGCGGTTTCTTGTGCAAATATGGCAAGGCTCCGGCAACTTCTGCGTCTGTATTCATCTCTAGCCGTCTCGACTACGTCCTGCCACTTGATCAAGGTGAATTCAGACGAGAGAGTGAGGTTGGTGGCGCGCGACCCTTCTTCACTTAAATCAAAGTCATCAGCGCAAGTCATATTTCATCTCGTACATACACCATTACATCACCACAAACTCTCAAAGTCCTGTGGCGATTGGCAAACGACGAAAACAGCAGGTGTGGATACACTGGAAGCTGCAGTTGTGACCCTACACACAGGCGGCTCAAGACACTGGTCGTCAGCTCTTTGACCGTGACAGCAAAGGCTCCCGGCAACATCCTGAGTGACTGAGCAGCCCTTTTCAGGAATGCACTGCTCACCCCCGTAGCCTGGGGAGGGGGCTAGAGGCGGGTTTAAAGGTGCCCCAAACATTGCCTGTCTCAACTAACCCGGGCTAGTTTACCGCGACTGGCAGGAATCCCCATCATGCGGTCGAAATACACGAAACACGAAAAACAACAAACAGATACCGATCACAGTCGGCGCATGGAACGTTCGAACACTTTTAGACAAAGATGATACGAATAGACCGGAAAGAAGAACAGCACTCGTAGCCAAGGAGCTGTCAAGATGAGCGAAACTCGTTTTGCTGAAGAAGGACAACTGAGAGAGCTAAAAGCCGGATACACTTTCTTCTGGAGTGGGCGTGGGAAGGATGAACGCCGTGAGTCGGGAGGTGGCTTCGCTATCAAAAACGACCTAATAGGCAAGTTAACTAGCCTACCCAAAGGGGTCAACGATCGCCTCATGACGCTTACTCTTCAACTGAAGGGAAAGAGATATGCTACTATTGTTAGTTGCTATGCCTCTACCATGACAAGCCCAGACGACATCAAGGACAAGTTTTATGAGGAACTCGACACTATCATCGCTTCCACTCCCAAACAAGACAAGCTGGTGGTTCTTGGGGATTTTAATACCCGTGTCGGGTCGGATGTAGAAGCGTGGGGTGAAGTCATTGAGAAGCACGGCGTTAGATCATGCAACAGCAACGGTCTACTCCTCAGATTGTGTGCTGAGCACCACCTTAGTGTCACAAATACACTCTTCCAGCTGCCAACCAGAAATAAAACTACTTGGATGCACCCACGCCAGAGGCGTAGCCAGGGCTGGGGCCGGGGGGCCCGGCCCCCCCTGGCAAAATTTTGGGCTTCCCCCTGGCAAAATTTGGGGGGCCTGATAAAATGTATTGTATAAAAAAGGGAATCCTTGATTATATAGGTTCATGCTGTCAATAATGCAAAAATTCTGTAGAATATATGCTTTGCTGGGCATCGGTGTGAAACCTAAAATCACTTGTTCGCTTATTTACGGCACACAGCTTGACTGAAACACATACCTTTTCTAACCCTAATTATTTCAATATGTATTAAATGAGGGTTAGATGAAGTTTAAACCAATCTGTTTTTTTTACAAGTGAATTTTTAATGCGTGCTCGGCAGTAGCGCCGTGGCCGGAGGGAAGGGGAGGGGGAAGACCCGTCGGAAAATTGTCAATACAGAGTTTGAGCAAGAAAACGAGGTACGAAGACGAAGGTGTACTTGCCAATTTTTGCCGTCTGCACATTAGCTTGCGCATACTGAGTTGGACGTCACTGGTGGTTGCTCAACGTGTCTTCCCATGTGTCGCTGTTTATGCACACTAACCCTAATTCTTGCCCTGACCCAGAAAAAAACAGCGAGAATGAAACTATATCCCGTCTTTGTCCTTCTGCCTTCGTTCGGAACGAAGTTCACAGCGAATTTTCCCAAAAGAACGAAGGCGAGATATGAATTCATGTCTCGCTGTTTTGTCTTGATCAGGGTAAGGATTTGGGTCAGCATTCATAAACAGCTAGACATAAATCTCTAATCTGTCTTCACGCCTGACTCTAAACTCAGAATGCGTAAGATAATGTGCAAGACAGGCAAAAATTGTCAACCACGGTCCACGTCGTCCGACTTCGTTCTCTTGCTCAAACTCTCTAATGTTAGTCGGAATCTTCGTGGTGAAGCATCGGAAAAAGTGATACGGAAATTGGGAAAAGTGCTACGAAAGCAATTGTAATGTTATTGTCCAGAAAATTTAAGGGATTTAAAATGTTGTGTGGTCCGCAAAATTTTTTCTTGCGCGAAAGCGTTTGATACCGTCAACAGCACTGGTTTATGGTTAATCATGGAGAAATTTGGCTGCCCACCAAGGTTTATCACGATGATACGTCAATTCCATGATGGCATGCAAGCCCACGTTCTTGATGATGGCAATCAATCTTCACCGTTTGAGGTCACAAACGGTGTCAAGCAAGGTTGCGTTTTAGCCCCAATGCTGTTCAGCATGATGTTCACTGCTATGCTGGCATATGCCTTTTCTGAGAGTGACCCAGACATTGACATCAGGTACCGCACGGATGGGGGGTCTTCAACCTGCAGCGCCTGAAAGCCAAGACCAAGGTTCACTTCAAAAGTCTGAGAGACCTTCTCTTTGCATGCAAATGATTGCGCCCTAAATGCCTCAACAGAGCCTGACATGCAACAAAGCCTGAACAGATTTTCGGATGCTTGTGACAACTTTGGTTTGACGATAAGCACTAAGAAAACTGATCAGGTCATGTTCCAACCAGCACCAAACAGCCCTTACATTGAGCCAAACATATACATCAAGTCTGAACGCCTCAACCCTGTGGAGAAGTTTACATACCTTGGTAGCACCTTATCCAGAAACGTCCACATTGATGACGAAGTCAACTCCCGCATAGCTAAAGCAAGCTCAGCCTTTGGCCGCCTGAACAAAACTGTTTGGGGCCGCCGAGGCATTACTACAGCGACAAAGCTCAGCGTGTACAGAGCAGTTGTACTGGCAACCTTACTCTATGCAAGTGAGACCTGGACGGTATACCAGAGACACACCAAGAAACTAAACCACTTCCACACAGTATGCCTCCGGAGAATTTTAGGCATCAGATGGCAGGACAAGACCCCAGAGATGAAACTATGGTCATCTTCGACATCGAAGGACGAACTACCACTATTTCAATTTTAATGCTTGGTAAAAATTACTCGATATATTCCCAACTTAACGTCTGAAATATTTTCCTACACCGCTCGTGAGAAGCCCAAGACTTTGGAATCTTAAGTAACGTCTTATCTATCTCTATGTTCAGTATTTTACATATTTGGTAAGTTAGGATGTTGAGGTTGGGGAGCCTCTTCCTTTCGGCTTCCTCTGCGTCGCAAACTTTCTCGATATTTTCCACGATCTCATATCTTTCTACTGCTGATAAAACAAAATATATTATATTTCTACTGCTACAAAATCTCTCAAAACTATCACCGATGCTACTTTTACTGCTCTGATTTCTCATAATTGATTACAATCCATCCTAAAAACAAAAATGGGTCCGGTTATCCATCCGCATTTGTCACACGTCCTTTCCCCATTTACATCAATAAACTGATGCTTACCTCCGTCTTCCCAAAACACCGAATCCGGCATCCTCTCTTCCATTTCACGCTTGGGTTTTTCCTTTTGCAAACGGACTTCCCTCTCAAAGCTAGATTCCATAAGATCCGGATATTGCTCCCTCAATTGTTTAAAGATATCCCTATACAACTCACTTTTCCTGCGATCATAGCACTCCTCTTTCAACCGTCCGATATAATCATATTTATAGCAGACTTACCCTCGTCCGATTGACAATTCTCTTCCGCCCGTTTGATGACGTCCAAGTCCGACCGACGCGCCTCTTCCAATTGTTTAAGAGGATCCATGGTTTTATTTTATATGGAAAAGTCTTACCTTTAAACCACTTACCGGTGGGAAGACCTTGAAATGACCTTGAGATAACCTTGAAACCATCTCAGGAGAATTTTGAGATAACTTTAAGCAGACTTTGAGTAAATTTTAAGTAGTTTTAAGTAGACCTCGGTTGTACCTTGAGACAACCTTAAAATTACCTTGAAAGTAGAAGAAGTAACTTTGAGCAAATTTTAAATAAACTTTAAGTAGTTTTAACTAGACCTTGGTAGTACCTGACAGTAACCTTGAAACCATCTCAGAAAAAGTACATATATTAAATAAATGTTTAAAAAGCAGAGCTAGTCTAACTTTTTAGATAATTTTATTGACAAAATACACGACATAAAGCGTTCAACAACTGCTTTATGTTAAACGATACACTCATCTCAGTCCTTGCATAATGTGCGTCAATAGCGTGGCTCACATGAGATTACGTGACCCTATAACCTTAAATTTATGTAACATGAAGTGTTTTTAACATCCTCCCCACCAAAGAAAATAATATAATTAACTATCAAATGTTTTAATGATATTGTTCACGAAGTCGTCTCAAGTTCTGTCCTTCTTCAGCCGCTTTTCGCAGGGGTCTTTTCTCGTTTACAACATTCTCTTTGATCATCACGTGCTCATCCTCGTTCTAGTGCTCTTTCGTAACAGTATCATCTGATTCAACTGACTCTTGCTCTCCACATTCACGATTCTCCATGATCTCGAATGGAATCAATTTTTGGACTGGTTGAAATACGCTGGACCGCTTTCCAGACTTCGAAAGTACATTAAGTTTGGCGCCTCTCACTTTACCATCGCGACCGTTAACCAGCTCCAACACCTTCCCTTTTCTCCACTGTGAACGCACGGAAGGTTGGTCATCCTTAATTAAACAAACATCGCCTACACTAATACGCCACGTATTTTCTCCCTAATTGGCTTGCCGATACATCAATTCATTTGTCTTGGTTCATTCAAATACGAGCATCAAAATTTTTTCCAACAATCCTTTAACACCTTTCGTACGTGCAGAACTCTTCGTTTACCGTCTTCCTGATTCATACTCGAAACAAAGTCAGTAACTTGCGCTCGTTTGGAAATATCACGACCGTGCATCAACTGGTATGGCGTTAACGCGTCGTCTAAGTCATCCTCACTTACGTATGCAAGAGGGCGATTGTTGATGGCTACTTCGACTTCGCACAGTATTGTTTGCAGTTCCTCGAAGGTCATAAAAGCTTTCCCGAGAGTTTTCTTAAGACAAGTCTTCACAGTCCTAACGAGCCGTTCATAAAACCCATCCCACCGGGGTGATAATGGTAAAATGAAGTTTGTTTAATCCCTTGTAACAACATGAACTTCTTGACAATAGCAGATTTAAATGTCTTGAAATTGTCATGGACAATGATATCCGGAGTTCCTCTTCTCGCCATAAATCTTTTAAAACCACGTAAGAATCCCCCAGTAGACATGTCTGGCACCAACTCGAGATGTATAGCTCGGCTTGTCGCACACGTTAACAACAAAATAAATGTTTTCCCCCGTTTGGATTCTCCTTTGACGAATAGTGGACCCGCGAAATCGAGCCCTGTTGCTTGAAAGGCATGCCCCGAAAGATTCACTCTATAGTCTGGTAGGTGTGGACTGGCAGGACCACGCATAGGTAATCCTTGATAGCGAGTGCACAATACACATTTCTTCAATATTTCTTTGACCGCCTTGCTTCCTTCCTTTTACAATCCAATAGTTTCGTCGGATATGTGCTAACGTAGTCTCGACACCGTGATGTTTTGTTTCCTCATGTGCATCTAAGATGATTAACCGTGTAAAATGACTCTGTTTATTCCCAAGAATAATTGGATATTGTTCTTCGAATGTCAAAGTTGTATTTGCAAATCGTCCTCGCAAACGTAGTATTTTATTCTTGTCTTCGAACAATTGTAAAGATGCTTTGAGCTTGTCGTAGTTGTCTTGTTGTAACAACTGGGACTGTTCGCATTTAATCCACATTCGTAACGCATCGTCATACTCGTCGACTGTCAACATCTCGTCCGTGATTACGTTAGGGTCTTTATCTTGCTTTACTCTCTTGTTTAAGTTGTTTAAAAATCGTAATACGTAACCAGTAACAATGATAAGTTTTTTGAGCGAGCTATTGTTGTCAATGACAGCATTTATTGAACATGCTTGGTTTGTTGTGCCTTCGTGGGGTCACGTTACTGAAGTTACTAACTCCAGTCCTCCCCACCAAAGGATTCTCACAAGCACAAGCGTCAACGGTCTCCTCACTAAATGCCGCTGGCGATAAGAGAAACGAAGGACCTTGAAACCAACACCCAGCAAAGGACTGACTTAAATCAGAGGACATCCTTGTGGGGACATCCGCCGGATTTTCTTCACTCTTAACATATTTCCACCCGCTCCTATCTACCACCTTCCGAATTTCAACATTTTCAATCCAAGGCTTCCAAGACTTTTCTTTACCCCGAGTCCAAGAGAGAGCAACCTCCGAATCACACCAACAAAGAATATTTTGGATGTTAACACGGTTACCAAGACTATTGACTATTTGATTAAGTAACCTACTTAACAGCAAACAACCTAAAAGTTCCAACTTTGGAATAGTTAAGACTTTTAAAGGAGCTACTTTCGTTTTGGAAGCCAAGAAACTCACTTTGACGTCATCTCTGGAGACAAGACGAAAGTAGACCACGGCACAATATAATTCTTTTGAGCTGTCGCAAAACCCGTGCAGCTCAACCCTAAATCCGGAATGAAAATTGTTAGAAAAAACATACCGAAAACGTTTGACTTCTTTTAGGTTTTTTAATTCGCTTAGAAATTTGAGCCAAACTTCTTCTGTGTCTTTTGGTATCAAATCATCCCAGTCCAACTTGTCCTTGCAGAGAAGTTGGAATAATGATTTGAGTTTTGCCGTGACACGAGAAAGCATTCCCAAGGGATCAAAAACTGAAGCGGACACGCTTAAAATATTTCTTTTTGTAAGCGTCATGTTGCAACATCGATTCATTAAGTTATCGAAACAGAAACCAAATTCATCCGAAGTTGCATCCTATGTCAAGCCCAAAACCGTTTTACAACTGGTATCGATGTTATTAGTTGTTATCTCAAAATACGTTGAGTCATCCTGCACGGGGACCTTAGTCTCATCTATTTCTCTATTATTGATATACTCTTTCAACTGGGGATCATTTGTGACCCATTTCCGTAATTCAAAACCTGCTTCCTGCATTATACACTTGCTCTTATCATATAATTCTTTACCTCCCGTCTGAGTCCGACAACCACTAACTACCTCATCAACATAAAAATCATCTCTAAGACGATCGACAATAGCTTTCTCTTGATCGAAATACTTATTCAGATGATGTCTAATGGTGCCATTTAGTAGAAATGGGCTATACTAGTCACCCCAAAAACTACCCTCAGGAATCTATACACAACTTTCTCTATCATACCATAAGAACCGAAGGTAATCTCTATGTTCTTTTGCTATTGCTATGTTTAGAAATGCTTGCCGTATGTCAGCTAATAATCCAATCTTATTACACCTAAAGCGAATCAGTATGTCAAATATTTTTGCAATTAGGTTAGGACCAGCGTAGAGGCACTCATTTAGGGATGGTCCATTGACCTTGCAAGATGCGTCAAATACAGCCCTTATCTTCGTCGTTTCCCTGTCTTCACGGATAACCGACCTATGCGGAAGATAATGTGTTGTACCTGTCCCTTTGGCAATTTCTTCCGTTGGCACACGTTCAATAATACCCACTTGTTCATATTCCTGAAAAATTTTATCATAGTCTTCAAAAATTTCCTTGGATATTAGGCGACCCTTCAAAGATTTCAATCTTGCTTCGCTTATATTATAATTATCAGGGAGTAATTCATGGTCAGGATTGAATGGTAGTGTAACTACATAACGAGTTCCATCATGTACTATATTTTTTTCAAATTTACTGACAATTCCCCCTTCGGAAGACCCTATGTTCTCAACTTCCCAGAATTTTTGTAAGTCCTGCCTTAAATCTCCCTGTTCATCTGCATGTTCTACAGTGCACCGTAAGAAATGTGTCTCAAAACAATAAAGTTCAGGGGAAACAGAGCCCATCCGACCGCTAAATACCCCCCCCCCCAACTTTTGTACCACTCGCTACAGGACCCTCTTTGCTTTTAATCAATTCACTAGTCATAAATGTATAGTAATAGTCAATACCAATTAGTATACCAACAGGAAGATTCGGGTACTCTTCATGCTCAAAATCATCAAATTGCAAATCTTTAAGTTCAGGCAATTTTTTAACACTCGGCAGATTCTGATTGGTCAATGGGCTACAAATAGTCGGGACACAGAGGGCTTCTACACTTGTAACTATATTTTCATGCTGATTCTTGACTTTAAATTGCACTACATATAACCTTCTAACCTCACTAATCTCACTCTGACCAAAGGTCTTGATAATTACTTTTTCAGATCTCACTGCTCTCAACTTAAGACCATTCCGTACCTTTTCTGATATATAGGTACGCTGACTGCTGCTATCAAACAATATTCTCGTGCTTATTTGTCTTAGTATATCATTAGACTGTATATTTGCTCTAGCAATTTGTAATAAGATACTATTTTTATCACAGCCAGCATGTCCTACTTGCAGATGTGTCATCAGCTTTATCAGGATTTGATTTATTTTGGTTATCACCTGAAGCTCTATGGGAATTAGACGTGCAAATAGAAATATGATGTTTGCCTCCCTTACACCTTCTACAAACATAAGTAGATGGGCAATTTTTTGCAATATGTCCTTGATCAAGACAAACAAAACACCTATTGTTCTTGCGAAGTATTGACTTGCGTGATTCTGGACTAGATACATTTGTGCATTTGGAGTGAGAATGCCCGTCTTTATTGCAGTACACACAAGAACTTTTACCGGTTTGGCTCAATAGACCGCTTGTAGTATAGTCCATTTTCCTAGACTTATCATGCTCATTGAATTGTGATCTTGTGCCAGATTGTGTAGAACAATGTTCCTGTGCTCTTAGCTCATCGTTGAAATATTCTAAAACTTTATCTAATGTCCAAGTATTGTTACCAAAATTTCTTGCAATTATCATGTTGATGTCATCTGGCAATCTATCTTTGAGTATGGGTATCAACAAGGAACCATACCCCGAGGTGTCTAGCTTTAATGCCTTCAAATTTCTGATACAATTTTCGACATGGTTATACAACATTCTAAGCTCTTTTATATTCTCTCGAGATCTAACTTTACCTATTTTAAGCAAAGACTCCATGTGTGCTGAAATTAGTTAAAAACTCTCATTTCCAAATCTCTTACTCAATAATTCTATAGCTTCTAGGTAATTACTAGAACTCAATGCTAGATCTGATACTGCTGCTAAAGCTTCTCCACTTAAACATCCTTTAAGATAATTAAATTTGTCTATCACACTAATGTCAGTATTATTATGCACTGAAGTCCTAAATTGATCCCAGAATCCTTGCCAATTCAGGGGGTTCCCATCAAATTCAGGCATTTTCATTAGTTTGGCAATTTGCAACGTATAGGTTGACTTATCTTATAACCCACATTAGTAAATACATCTGTACCATAACCTAGAGTAGTTGCTGTATTAGGATTTGTTTGTTCAAGTTTCAAATCAGTCGAAGCTAAGACTCTATGAACAGGTTCTAGGTTTTTCATATGGTTAACAACTTCGGCTTCAATTTCTTCCGGCTTAAGTAAAGAAAGAATTTCGTTATGAACACTGGCGCATTGTTCAACAATAGCGGTCACTGAATTTTTAAATCCCAGGAGTTTTTCTCTTTCACAGTTTTCGGATGAAATGTGTTCATTTAATTCGCTTAAAATCGTTTTTAAATAGGTTTGTAAGCCCGCGTATCTACTTCTAACTCGTCCCAAATCTGCCGTCATAGTTAATCAGAATATATACACGTGCTCACAACAAAGGACCTTTTATACACAATGTCAGATGTTAAGATAAAAACGAAAAACCCCACAAAACTAACATTTATTCACTAACAGAAACAACTCGTATTTTCAAGAGAAACCGTTCCTAGCACTAACAATCGAGAATTCAGTAATTATCAATACTTTTAAACAAAACAATGTGAATATACGACCTCATCAGGAAGATGTACCATGTACGCACATGTGAAGAGCACACTATCCAAACCGATGTTCGCTGCCAAAACAAGTCGCTCAGCGTCCGTAATTTCTTTCAGCGACACTTTAGCGTCCCCTATCGGGCTCCGTTTAAAAAGCAGAGCTAGTCTAACTTTTTAGATAATTTTATTGACAAAAAACACGACATAAAGCGTTCAACAACTGCTTTATGTTAAACGATACACTCATCTCAGTCCTTACATAATGTGCGTCAATAGCGTGTCTCACATGAGATCACGTGACCCTATAACCTTAAATTTATGTAACATGAAGTGTTTTTAACAAAAGGATGAGCGAGCCAACAATAACAAGAGCAGAGAAGACCCAAAAACCGAAGGATCCGAAAGGTGTAGAAGCAGGCAAAAGACTAGCCGCAATATCCAGAGAATTAAGGGCAAAGAAAGCAGCGGAAAGACTCAGCGCTGAAAATAATTCCGATCAGGGCGACTCAGTAAATACGCTAATTTACGTCGGTCTTACGGCAGCTGCGTAACTCTTTTTGTATCCATTTTCCAGAAATCTTTGTAGACTTTGTCTGGTATCTGGTCCCTCCGTCTTCGTTTCCGAATATGGTTGTTGGGACAGATCAGTCATGAGAAATCAAAGCAATAAAAATAGCATCATTGATAGGTTTGAGAGATTTTGTAGCAGTAGAAAAATAACACGTTTTGTTTTACCGGTGGAAGAAAGACGTTGGGTATTGAGTAGCATTGAAGAAGTTTGCGACGCAGAGAAACCTAAGAGGAAGACGCTCCCTAACCTCAACATCCTAACTTACCAAATATGTAAAAGACTTAACATAGAGATAGATGAGACGTTACTTAAGATTCCGAAAAGCAGAGTTCCCCATAATCGGTGTAGAAAAATATTTCAGACGTTAGGTTGGGAATATATCGAGTAATTTTAACGCCTTTTCCCAACATTAAAATTGAAATAGTAATTTTAGGGTGATGATAACGAGAAGAATCTCAACCGTTATCGGGATGAGTAGGCAGAACACCAGACTCATCCACGTTAGTCTCCGTAATATTTGAGTTCTCGTAATTTATTTTAACGTACTTTTTTACCGTTGCGCTGACATATCCGATTTGGGTGTGAGTGTTGATAGTGAGATCACCACGTTCTATACCGATTCTGAAACTGAACATTTTTCTTTTCTGGTGGTTTTTGTCGTACTTGGTCTCAGGTTTTGTGGATAAGCATCCTATTTTTTTTTTCTCCTCCTTTGCGGTCTTTGCTGACGGTCCGGCTTTGCCTTCCTTACATGACGCAACGTATCTGATGTTGGTTGTTTTGGATTTAACGTAGCCGAGATTCAGTCCGCCTTTGTTGAGGTTTATGTCAACGTTGATGGTTTTATCCTTTTCTAATTTCTTCTTAACTTTGCTACTGTCGCTATTCATCCTTTATTAATACGAAAAGAAAATCCACCTTGAAGTTACGATTCCACTAACAAACATAGCGCCGAGGAGGTAGACCAGATTGTTTGGTGGTTTCGGTACGCTTGTTAGGGTTCTGGTCTCTGCGCGGTATAGGGTATGGACTTACCCCTGGACTCGTCTTTACCTCCTTCGGTTTTGAATAGTTAACTTTTGCATTACTACCGAACTCCATATCCTTTGTCGCTAGTGTGAGTGTATTGTTGTATCCTGCTACTTTTTCCTTAAGTATAATCATATTGGATGATATTAATATTAATCCGGGTGATATTGCCATGTTAAGTACAATGTTAGTATCCTTTATTGCCTTCCTCATGTTGGAGACGGATACCGATACATCGTCTTGCGCAACGGTGTCTCTGAAAAGTTTGTGGAAAAAGTCCTGAGTCTGCAATGACTTCGCCCCTTTACCAACGATAGACCAACGTGTTTGTGCTTGCGCACCTAATACGCAATAGACGTAACTTTCAACAGATTGTTGAAGTAGTTTTAGTCCGAGGGGTGTCAGTCTATCTGATTTCTTAGCTATGAATTTATCCGGCTAACAAAAACTTATCGGTCTCTTTGTTTCACTTCACATTCTTTGTGCCTCACTCTGCTATACGTTAGAGTTACTCGCTCTTCGACCGCTTGTGGCGGAAATAAGAGGAAGGCATTTGCTGCAGGAAGGTTAAAGCACCCACCTTTCTGGTCAATAGTAATGCTAAAAGAAAAAAAATGGAATACTATATAGCTCAAAACTAATTTCTCAAAACTAATTATAATTCATGAGCAAACGTAAGGGAATTGTTATTAATTTAAACAGTATATCCTTGTATAAAGTCTGTTTTCCAGCCCTTGCACGAATAACTCGCAGATCGCTGCATGCATTGCTTGCAAGCATTTCCATCTTGTTCAAACGAACTCTCAAACTAAATTCACACGAGACCGGACGTATTAATTAAGAAACACGCACAAAGAAATTCTTTAACTTCATCTTCTTCACACTTTGTACAGTCATGCAGCTGTGCTTGACTTCATTTAGTGCCGGGAAAACGGAGCTTTTAATAATTAAGAAAACTCATTGATTGATTGATTGATCGAATGAATGGGCTCATTACTACTGAAATATCAATATTCAAATGAATAATAGCCACCGGCCATATAGCAATTTCTATACGAGAAGGTGTGCCATGAACTCCAAATCATCATGCAGTTGTGACCGAACACATCAATGTTTTTCCAATTTCTCAATGTTTTAAATTACTATGTCTAAAATGAACGATGGTCATGATAAATCCAGTTGAATAGCTAATTCTTTTTTACTTTAGCGTTTGACCTGTAGGCTTTTATTATGGAAACCAATTTAACTAAAAAGCTAACATATATAAAAGATTTCTCTCTCTTTTGTTACTCACTACTAGTACTAAAATACCTTTAGTTGTATACTATTGTCTGTAGCATATGTTTCCCTCTGCATGCATTTGGCAGGTTATTCTAGTACAAGACAACGATAGGCTTTATAATACGACCTTGGACTCATGGTTTAAAAAATTATGTACCTGTTATCAGACGTTTGCCCACTACCTTCGATAACCAAAAAACTATACTCTGGGGCATCAGAAATTGGGTCTTTGTTGTCAGTTTCATCATTATTCTTCTCTTCTTGTGATTCTGGTGGTAAAACGATAAAATGAAGAATTTTGTAATCTAATTTGAAAAAGATATTTGCAAGCCTTCATCCATTAGCTTCGTTGTAAAAGACTTGAAATACGTAGACTTCATTCAAACAGCGAATAACAACAATGAAAACTTAGTTTAGAAGTTACAAACGATTGCACCCGTTTTCAAAATTACGCGACCAAGGACGAAAATGCTGGAGTTGACATGTCAGTTTTATGTCATTCGGTCACGAAGTTTAAACTTTGAGTTTTGCGGTTCCTTGTCGATGTATATGCTTTGTATGCTGTTCTGGCCACTATGGCCCCTAGATACTTTCTAGATAGACTTTAATATTATTCACTCGTTTTCGCGGTATTTTTCCGTAATCACATCTCATTATTAGCGAGCCAGGGGTTATTTTTACCGGTTTTTCTCTGGCTCGGTTCTCACGCCTGAGTGAGCATTCTTTTTTTACAAAAAAGCGAATAAAAGCACCGTTTAAACCTATTCGTCTGTTATACTACTGTTGAAGGGGACCAGGCCTTTCCCGAAGGAACAGAATAGTAAAAAAAGAGTCACTTTTCTGGCGTGTATACATCGAGAAAGACGAACTGACTTCGAAGATATCTTTGTAGCGTGCTCCAAAATCGCTACAAAACGGCTTCAACTACAGAAGAACACGACTGTTTTACAACGAACAGCTCAATGGCAGATAAACCCACCGTCGACAACCCCGAGGTAGGAACACTAGATACGTTTTTATCGCAAAATACGGCTGAAAATACGGTAGAAAATACGGGTCAAAACGAAATAAACAGTACTAAACCTGATAAAGCAAGCCCAGAAACGGACGAAAATACTTTGTCTGTCTCGACAAACGACCCATCCTCTCGTCCCAAAAGATCAGTAAAACCCACCGAAAAGTCTATCGAAAACAGGGTTCAATCCGATCATTCAAAGCTCGACAAATTCTGGCGAAACACGTCAACTGCTGTGGGCAAATTGCAAGAAACACCCGATTCGCTAAATCAAATCAAATCCCATACGTCAGAAGTACGTTCGCTATTCCACGAGTACCACACCGTTTCTTTGTCGCTCTTAGAGTTTCTCGCTAACCTCAGCGACCCCAAACACCAAAAAGAATACGAAACATTGCAGAAACTCGTAAATAATCGTAGCGAGTACATTCATACAGTAATAAACGAAGCAAACGAGCGGAAAAAGGAACTTTTGCTTGAAATAAACTCTGCCCACCATTCCCGAATTTCCCGTAGTTCCCGCAGCTCCACAACGTCCTCCACCGCCGCTAGAGCTCTCGCAAGAGCTGAGGCTACAGCGGCACTAAAGAAGGTAGAAATGCAAAAATGGCGATCATTGCGAGAGTCCCAGTCTGCCATAGAAATACAACAACAAGAACTTGCCCTAGCCCAAAAGAAAATGGAAGAGAAATCCCGAATGGAAAGTTTACTATTAGAAGAAGAAGCAGCAGTCACCGTTGCTAAAGCTCAGGCAATAGATAAAGAACTGAGCCTCGTAGATCATCAAGATCCTGAACACTTTGACCTACCCCAAGACGATCCTGCGGAAAGGGTCCAAAACTATATAAATTCGCAACGCTTCGAAGAATCTAACATTGGCCAAGACTCTAGTCCCCTGGTTCCAAATCATGTCATCGGTCTACAACTCCCACAGAATACCAACCATCCTATACGAGAAAAACCACCCAACCGAAGACTAGACCCGGCGGCCAACTCGTTTATCCCTCAACCACAGAACTCTCGGACAGACCCCAGTACAAATGCTATAAGCTCTTACATCCAATTCATGGCAACGCAGAGAGCTTATCGCTAATAAGATTCAGAGATTTGACGATAATCCCAGAAATTTTTACGGTTGGAAAGAATCCTTCAAGAATATGATACGAGACATTCACCTCTCCCCTAGCGAAGAGCTATCACTCATCATAGAGTATACCAGCAACGAATCAAAGAAACTTGCTCAACGGCTTCAAAACGCATATATCAACAAACCCACTGAAGGCGTGGAGATACTATGGCAAAAACTTAGCCAGCGGTTTGGTTCCAACGCGGTTATAACTGAAGTACATTTGAACAAACTGAAAGATCTGCCGAAAATCGGATTTAGAGATAACAAGAAACTCCAAGAACTCGGAGATTTGCTCTTAGAATTACAGTGTGCTAAGAACGACGGCGGATACAGAGGCCTCAGAATCCTCGACGAGCCCGCTTACATTAAACCTGTCATTGCGAAGCTCCCTGGCGATATCCAAAGCAGATGGCAAAAGCACGCCTTTCGATATAAGAAACAATACGCCGAGGTGGACTACCCGCCATTTTCCGAGTTTGTCACCTTCATCCAGGAGTTGTCCCTCGAAAGAAACGATCCTAACCTGATCATAGAGATTCCCGATTAGTCAAGCTCTTAAAAAGATTGAAATCTTTGTTGAGGGCTTTCTTTCGTCCCCAAATGGAGATTCGTATGGACTGGTGGAGTATTTAGTCGCTGACGAGGGGAAATTAAAGTGGTTGGGCTCTCTGGAGGACTTAAAATTGTTTATAGAATCTTCGCTTCGCATCGACGGTAGATGGTCATCACCGGGTGGCAACGCCAAAAAATTTACGCTCACATCAGTCGAACCTGATCAGCAGTTTGGCTTCGTTTGGTATTGCAGAAAGCAGAATACGATAGTGTTTCAGGGCGATCCTGAGAGCGTTGAAGCAGAGAAATCAAAACTTATATCGATTGCAAACAAACATGTAAACAAAGAGACTACATCGATCGCGGTGAGTGAACAGTTATTTGATCAGATGGACCTACAAGTGCGTGGAGTTGATTGTGATGGTCCTGATCGGCGGGAGCAAGACCTGAACGTAACTTTAGTGGTTAATGAAGAGAGCCAGACTGAATATACTTCGAGTTTAATAAATGGATCATCGACTCAGTATCCATGTGCGTGTACATGTAGTCAAGGTGAAATTATTGCAGAAATAGAGGGTATTAAGCTAGATTTGGCGATCTTTAAGTCGCAGTCTTGTTTTGGTACAGATAATCAATATGATTCTTTGCAATCTAACATTAAGTCATTGCAATCTACACAGAAATCCCTTAAAAATATTATGAAAACTCAAGACGAGACAATAAATTCACTTCAACAAGAAATATTTGTATTTAAGTCCAAGCTTTTGTCCTTGGAAACGCTATTGTTTAATGTTAATCCTCAATTGAACGCACTTGATCTTGATAGCCAGATACAATGCACTGCGAAAGTAAATCCCCAAGGGTCCAATAATGATGTTGGAAAGAGTAATTGCGAAATACTATTACCCACGCACTCGAATAATAATCAGTCTACCAACGAAAATCTACCATCTGAAAATTGTATGACGATTTGTAGTTCGCCAAAAAGTTATTTTAATATTAATGCTAATGACCCTTCTCCACTTGTGAGTGATGTTGTCCCTGTCCCACCTGCGAGTAACGCAGACTTAATGCCCAAAAGTTCTCTTGGTGTAGAAGTTAATGTCTCTGTCCCAAATGTGAGTGATGCAAACTTACCGCCAACCAATGAGATGCAAGTTCCCAAAAATGAAACGCCTTGTCCGTTTATTTTGCGGCGTGGCTGGTGCTTAAAAGGTGAGCAGTGCGACTTTTCTCATCGAAATATGGTTAATAATGATCAAGCTCGCCAGCATTCCAACGATAAAAAAGGCTCCATATTTTGTCCGTTTCTACGTAAGAAGGGCTATTGTTTGAAAGAATCCAGATGTGATTTTTCCCATGTCGAATCCTATTCGTATCCAACTGGAAATCATCCGGTAACAAATGATAACTTACAATGCCCCCAATTACATCCTTTTTTAGGAAGTCACGACCTACAAAATATTCCGACTTTGATGCGCCAACTCGAAACAAGATTACAGAGTCTCGAGTATGCTCAAATACCTCACCCCCCTTATCACCGGTATTCAGTGTCTCAACCACTGTTCCCTCCACCAAAATCAATGTATCCACGACCACTAATGATGACCCCAGTTCATCCCCCTCAGTATTTACG